TGTGATTTAAATAAAAATCACGCTTTTCATTTTTGTCTGGTGCGCGGGCCATTGACTTGTGCGCACATGCAGTCGCAGCTACTGCGCAGATAGCCSGGTACTCGCATAAATCAATAATCATCGTGGACGACTATCACCACTGCAATGGCTGGCAACAACTAAATTGTATATTGCTAAAATATTGCCGCTAAATAAAGTCACACGAGCAGCACCCTTAAAGGACTGCGTAATGGAAACCGTCACGCCCCGCCTACTATACCTACAATCTACATTATTATATTATATAACATCGGGCTTAAAAGCAACAAGATTACGAAGAAATATAATTGAAACGTTTATATTTGGGTTTAGGAATTGACGTTTACCCAATAAAAACGGTGTAGCAGTAGCAGCACTCTGTATAAAATACGTGTACCTACTGTCTATAACCTACAACAGACACGTACACATTTAATTTATATTAAGAGGATTCGAATATTCGATACTGATGTTGTATAATAATATCTTTGTTTAATGCACAGTGCACACACATCATACGATTTTAGACGTGTTCTATGCCAAACGTACCAATTGATAAAATGTAACGATAAGAACTCTAAAAGATTTGAATTTAACATTGAGACCAAGGTGCCAAGACTTTGGACTTTGGTTGAGACTAGTTGAGATTGACTATTTCACATTTTCAATGCTGTCTTCCGACAAAAATTCATAAAAACATTATTAAAGAAAATTGTTATTAAAAAATTATCATTTTTAATTTTTTGGAGAAGTTATAATCAAAAAATCAAAAATGTAGCAATGTCGATATCTCAAGTAGACTTGACTTCTTCTCGCTTCGCTACATCCATCGGTGTGTAGGTACGTTTGGCAAAGAATAAGGCTAAACCCCTATGGAATGTATCCGGTGATCGGGCGACAGCAATTTACTAAGAATCTGGAGCCTTTCTGATCGAAAAATCAATACTCGATAGGATTTTACTGCGCATTATTAWATTAATTTTAGCGGGTTGCGGTGTGCGCCGGCGTGCGAGTGGTGGCGCCGCTCGGTGCCTCGCCGCCTCGGTGGCGTCAGACGTCAGTCCGGTAACAGAAACGATTAGGTGCGGTAGCGTTTGAATCTTATCTCATTCGGTATCGCGCGATCGTCCCCCTTCCACTGGTCTGTAMTGTCTGTAGTCCAAACTAACCGTTGTTTGCTGTTCGAGTCGTATCTCGTATCACTTTTTCTATGATCGTGACGATCGTGTGACTGTGGTGTGGTCAATTTGTTTGGTCTTAACGCCCGGCACTCGTGAATAATATTGCGACACTACTTGCCCGTGGCTCGTTAGTCCGTAGCAGTTTTGTGTTACACTTTATTGTTGCGACAGTGTTATTCGAGTTTCTCCTCTCCACCCGCCGAAAAAATTGGCAATATTACATATTGGAAATTATTTACTGTCAATCAAACGTTTTGCACGGAACAAACCACCTGTTCAGTGTCCTACCGCACCGACGACCGCCGTTTTATTTCGTTTTCCTCCCGTTTTTGCACGAGTCTGTCGTGATTGTTAGGCCGGATTACATATGAACGACAATCGTGGTGAAATGGCTCCCGTAGACGTGACACTCGACGAGAAGTACTCTGGCCGTTTTCAGCTGATCAGTCATTTGAAACTCGAGGGTATCTCATCGGTGTACAAGTATAAATGCCTGCGTACTGGCATCAACATCGTGTTTGGCGAAGTAGAAGGCCCGCTGGTCCAAGGATACTTCACTCTGGGTAATGTATTGGTCGTTTTTTATTTTGTTTTTTTCTATTTACAAATGTTGTAACGACGTACGACTGTGTGTGTGCAGGTAATTTGTTTGATTACACTACGCCCATAGTACGGGAGATTGTCGTCATATATGAAAAGGGTTTTTTACTGTTTTGGGTTACAAGTTAAACCACCAACATTTTGGTTATTGGGTTAGTATCTGTCACAACGATTTCCATCAAAAACTAGTTAAAAAATGTTCTTCTGACAGTATATTCTTCATTAGTTGGCTCTACAATTTTAACGAATCAAAATTCTGTTAGGCGTTACATTAAACACAATATGATTGAGTCATAATAGTTTTCAATTAAAAAAATTTGAATATTTTGTGTTACAATATTATTTGCTAAGTAAATGTTGAGAAGCATTGTTTTGAATTTAATGTTCATAGTTATGTTCTAGAAGTTAATAACTGGTTTGTTGACTATTATTTTTGTTTGTAGGTACCTGTTTACTAATGTAAAACAAATATGAACGGGTCAAGTTATGTTAAATATATATGTATATAATAAATAATAATATACATATCTACCAACGACTTGTATTATTTCCATTATTTATAACCACATTTTTATATTATAGATAAATATTTTTTTTTTCTTGTGACTAATTTGTATTGGTTTTATTTAAAATTAAACATATTTAAATAATTAAATTAAACAGCTATTTGTGCCTAATATTTTTAAATATTTATTTATAGCTACTGAAGCGCATGATGATGATGGCATTCCACATACACTAGAACACTTAATATTTCTAGGATCTGAAGATTATCCTTTTAAAGGAGTTCTTGATTTATTGGCTAATCGTTGCCTTGCATCTGGCACAAATGCTTGGACAGGTATACATTTTTTTTCCTCTTTAAAACTAATAAACTATTAGTATTAATTATTATTATACCACATTTTTTTTAGATGTTGATCATACTTGCTATACAATTAGTACAGCTGGTAGCGAAGGTTTCTTATCACTTCTTCCAGTCTACCTTGACCATATATTATATCCTACATTAAAAGTATGTTTAAAAAAAAAATTATTTATATATTATAACTTATAAGCTATTAATTTAATRCATTATTTAGGATTGTGCATTTATTACTGAAGTCCACCATATAACTTATGAAGCAGAGGATGCTGGTGTTGTGTACTGTGAAATGCAAGGCAGGGAAAATACTGGAGAAAGTATTGTATTAAGAACTATGTTGAAAAACTTGTATCCTGGTAAATGTGGTTATAAATCTGAGACTGGAGGTATTATGAAAAACTTGAGAGATTCAACAACAAATAAAAAGGTAATAAATTTTACATCTTAAAATACTTAAAACTCACTTAAAATTAAAATATAGTAAAAAGCTTATGAGGTCATCTAAATAATAGTCCTACTATTAAATTATATAAGAGGCCATTTAACTCTATTTTTTTAAGCTAACAAAGCTAAATGTGATCTGCTGGTCGTAAAATTTGCTATGTTACGAATTTGTAAGACGAAGACACAAATGCGGGTATCACGTCCTCTTTACTAACTATGAATCCAAACAGACAATAGGATTTTGCTGGCCAGTTGCTGTGTTCTTAGCATTGAAAATTTTTCAGTTGGAGAACTGATTGGCTGGAAAAAAATGTTTGTCTATTTCTCACAACCTAACTATATATTAAAAAAACAATCAGCAGACGGAAAATTTCGGTCCATTAGATTTTTGGACCATTATATTTCTATCGCCATAACCATGGTCTAACCAATTGTCTTTCCTTTGTAATAATAAATTAATATAAATATAAATTTTATTTTTTTATTTTTTTATTAGGTACAAATTTAATTTGGCTATGATTAACCTTCTTTTTATACCCTCTTAAAATAAGTTTCATTTCATCTGCACACAGTATTGCAATAARTAAACATTTTTTATTTATTGAATTATTTATTTTCATTATTTATTGTAGATTCGTCAGTATCATCATGCATTTTATCGCCCTGAAAACTTATTACTTCATATAAGTGGAAAGATAAATCATTCTTCTGTGTTTGATGTTTTAGAATTGTTCATTCAAAAAGTTTTGTCTAAGGTAATTTACTGTTACTTTTATTTTTGATTTGAATAATACCTAATAAACTATTATTATTGTAATAAAGTATAATTTATCAATGTTGCAGGGTAATAGAGGAGATTATGTCAGACCTTGGCAAAATCCGGTAGATCCGTTAACTCTATCTTCAAATAATTCGGTTTTTTTCCCTTCTGATGAAGAAACCAATGGCATGATAAGTATTGGGTTTAGAGGCTCAAATTGTTTAAATGAGTAAATAAATATGTCATGTAATGAGATATTATGGAGTATATTAATTTTATTTTTCTTTGTTAGTGACATTGCGTGTCTATTATTGTTGAAATACTTAACGGATACTCCAATCAGTCCTTTACCTAAAGAAATGGTTGAAATTGCAGATCCCTTCTGTACTGATGTAAGAAATTAATTTAAATTAAATTGCATTTAGCTTAATTCTTATTGAAATATTTTAATTGAATCAATCAATAAAAACATTAAAATATTATTATAACTTAAAACTAAATTTTTATATATATTCTTTTTTTAATTGGTAGATTTACAAGGTATCACTTACATTGRTATACTATACAAAAGTTGTATTATCTAGAGTCTAGATAAGTTATAATAATATTTTAATGGTTTTATTGAATTGGTTTATTTAAGACTATCTCTGAAGAATCTAGATTCTAAACTATAAAATGTATATGTATATGCTATAAATAATATAAAAATATTAATATTGCATAAATATTTTAATAGGTGTCATTTGCTATAGCTTCTCATAAAGAACCTTATATAATCATTAATTTTGAAAATGTTCCTATTGAAAAAATGGATGCTGATATTATACCCTCAAAGGTAGATGAAGTATTTAATAGACTTTCAGTCGATGATGGTTATCTTGAATTGCAACGACTAAGAACATTTGTTGAAAGATATAAACTTCATTTATTGAGCTACTTAGATAATTATCCACATGGACAATTGTCTTCAATAATTATACAAGATTTTTTGCATGGAAAAACTTGTGCTGATGTGAGAAATATTATTTGTATTTGATGTACATTGTAAAAAATAAAATAAAATTACATTGATGAATCATGAATAATTATTACTAATATTTTCAGTTGGAGCAGAAATTGAATAAAATGGCCATACTAAAAGAACTATCCTGTAAAGATATAATATTTTGGAAAGGGATATTGGAAAAGTATTTCATCAATTGTAAAAGAGTAATTKTTAGAGGAATTCCTTCTATAAAAAAGCAAGAGGAGCTTGCTAACGAAGAAAAAGAAAGAGTACAAGAACGTCGTAAAACTCTAGGAGAAGAAGGTTTRAAAATAAAGGCAGTTGAATTATTAAATGCCAAAGTTGAATGTGAGGTAAAAATTGTAAAATATTTAACCAAGTTAAATATTTATGTTGATTTTAAAATAATTGTTAATAAAATATGCTTGTGTTTCAGATAAAACCACCCAAAGAACTTTTAACATCACTTAATATACCTAATATTGATTGCATACAGTTCTATTCATATCAAACATTTGCGACAAATTCTATTGATCAACAYGATTTGTTTAAAATCAATAATGCACCCATATACATGGAATTAGACGATGTTAAAAGTAACTTTGTCTATGTAAGTATATTTTTAGTAGTGCTAAAATTCATTTTTAACTTTTTTTTTTTTTTAGGTTCACACTTTTATTGATACCAAAGATTTACCTAAAAATCTTCAAATGTATTTACCAGTTGTGGTTGATTTATTATTGAAAAGTTCAGTCAATAATGATGGTGTCAGAATTCATTTTACTGAAATTATTGCTGAATTGGAAAAAGATGTAATGTATTGGAATTCAGAAATAGGAACGTCATCATCGTCTCACTTCTTATGTGGAACTTTTTCTTCTATTATTTCTATATTCTTTCAAGTAATTATATTACATTTATTTCAAATAATTTTAAATTAAATTTTCTTTAAGTCATTAATGAATAAATGTGTAGCTTTTCCTTAGTTTAATAATATGTTTTTAATTATTATTATTTTTTAGTTAGAACCGAAGAAATTCCATTTGGGCATCAAGTGGCTGCATAATTTTTTGTTCAATACAGAATTAACAAGAGAAAAATTTTCTATAAATTTAACAAAATTAATAAATGAAATTTCAAGTTTTCGAAGAGATGGTAATCATATGTTAAAGGATTTAATGCGTAATATAATATACACAAATAGTAAGTTGATATAACTATTTTATATTTTATAAGTACAATCATATTATGATACTTACTGTTTTAAGAAATTTTGTTTTGTACATTTTTGTTCAATTTGTATAGAAAGCAACCACTATGCATGCAGTACATTGAGACAACATAAATTCTTATCACATTTACAAAACAAAATAGAATCTGATGAAGGGTGGTCATCTATTAATGATGATTTGAATGATGTGAAAACATTTTTAACAAATCCAGATAGTATAAAAATGCATGTATCTGCAAATTTAGATGTATTGTGTGAAATTCAGCCTGATATATCTTCAATAATGGAACAGCTAATTCCAACTGACCTTAAACGTTCAAAAAAACAGTGAGTAATATAGTAAATTAGCATTATTGTAATTAAATGTTATTTACTTATATTTCAGATTTGAAACAATTTTTGATTATGAATATCTTATACCTAATGATCAATGTGTTATACGATCTTGTGCTGTTGGAATGGGTGCTATTGAGTCCAGTTATTTCACCCAAATAACTGATTGTATCAATGACTTTAATCATCCAGATATGGCTGCTTTATTAGTATTTGTACAATATTTTACACAATTAGAAGTATGTTATATTTATTAAAAATTTTTTTTTCCATTAACTGTTATTTCATTAAGTATTTTCATTTTATAGGGACCAATGTGGAAAAATATTCGTGGTCTAGGTCATGCATATTCATACAGCATTACTCCAAGACCTAATGAAGGATTACTATTGCTACACTTTTATCGTTCAGTAAACATACCTGCGGCATATAAAGAAACTAAAAATATAATAGTATGTTTAATCACGCATAACACATATTTAAAATATTCTCGAGAATACATGCATATTTCATTTAAAACTTGATATATTGATTAATAATAACTATTACGATCAATGTCATTTTTTTTAGCAAGCATTTACTAGAATATACAATTTAAAATTAAATTATTTTTAAGTATCAGTTTACAAAGCACACAATCTTTTAGATATTATTTATGGGGTATGAACTTTGAATAATTCAAAATTTTTACCGACATCAGATTGTATACAGTTAGGATTCATATGTACATTTTAGTTTATCACCCAATTAAAAGGTACCTAGGTTAGATTATTTGAAAATTTCATTTCATTTTTTTTTTTTTTGAAAAAATTAACAAATTTTTAAAAACTTAGTTTATTAGATTGCAAAACGTGTGTTCTAGGGTTAATCCGACCTCAATGAAATTCAAATTAGAATCTTTGTGTATATTCTTAAACTATGTTTGTTGATAATAATATATGTACATGATATCTGTTTGTTGTTTGGTAATAGTTTGTTTCCTTAAATATAATTGTCCAAGATGATATTTTAAGCAACAAATCGTTTTGATGTATTAACATTGTTATCATTTAAGTTAAAGTTGATATATTTATATTGTTTAAATAAGTTATTTTTTCCATTATAGGAATCTCATTTGATTGATGGCGCMGTTTGGGACACCACACTTTTTGAATCTGCTAAATGTTCTGTTATCTATGAAATCGCTGAAACAGAAAAGTCAATAGGTGACTTAGTACAACAATCTGTATTGTTTCATTTTAGAAGTTTGGCGCCCGATTATAATCGGTAATAAAAATATTTGCATGGTATTGTTAAATTTATTAATTTTTTTACAATTATTTAGAACTCTTATAAAGAATATATCTGATGTAACACTCGAGGAACTGCCACAAATTGGAAATAAATATGTGATGCCATTATTTGATCCAAAACGTTTAAGATCAGCAGTGGTTTGCCCGCCATCTAAATTGGATGATGTAGCTAATGAATTTAAAAAGTAAGTTCAATTGCATTCTCAATCTTATAATCTTATCTTTTTCTACATTCAAAAATATATTAATTATTTTGTTACGAATTAATAAATGTTTTATTAATGTATATTTTTTTTTCTGACAATTTTATTATTTTAAATATTGTTTTAAATTAACTAAACATTTTTATTCATCATTCTATTTATTTATGAAAAGTTCTAGTTATGCACAGAAAAAATTACAATTTGTATTTAAAATTTCTGATTTGTAGGAATAATGAAATTTTTATTATTATACTTATGAATCCTAAACTATACATTAAATATGTATATATTTTTATTTTATTTCAGAATGGATATTGACATGACCATATACAAATCATTGGACGACAGTTTTCTCAATGATACTGCTTAAAAATTAAATCTTTTAATTACTTAAATACTTTTTATATTTATTCTAATTTTTTTTTTTTTTAATAGCGATTTTTAACCAACTCATAATTAATCCTTTCTATATTTGTGCCACTGTATTTAATAAGTTTATATTATTATTAATTATATCATATTATAACTATTAAATTCCAAAGTTATTTATATAATGTATATTAAAAAAAAAAATKTTATTATTTATGTACCTTATGTCTAAAATAATCGATTTTAAACTTCAACAATAGTTTATATAATGTAGACAAATATAGTGTTAAAGACAAATAAAGCTTAAGTATATAAAATAATATACGATTTTATTCTATTCACAAGTCATGTTTTCACTATACAGGTTATAATATGCAGTTTTATCTTACTCAGGTACTTGTACTATTAATAAAATGAAAAATATACAAATGGAGAAAAAATAAACTATAATTAAAATACATCTGCTAATATTATATACATATTATTATTCTCTGATTTTTTTAAATTACTACAATACTACCCATTTCTAGGAAAATTTAGATAGCTGTGCAAGTTTTATTTATTTATTTATAATTGAAAACAAAAAAAAATTTAAATCATTTAAATCAAAAACAGAAGTTAATTAACATTATAAAACTGTTATAACTGCTGAGACTGGGTTTGTTTCAATGTTTCGTTTTGAGAACGGATAAATGTTGCGATTTCTGATATCTTCTGACGATTTCTTTGGAATTCTTCACTGTAAAATTATTTTAAATTTTAACTATAAATTATTATATGCTTAATATAATTAATACCTCAACTATAAGAATTTTAATTATAATATGCAATATATGCATACATATAGCTAAATTGGTTAAAATTAGGTTAATTTTTTAATTATTATATATCATTAATTTTGTATACAAATCAAAAATATAAGTTTAACGAATTAAACTATTCAAATAATAAAATATATACSTTAGTTTGTAGTTTAATACTCATACCAACTAATCGCATAATTGTTATTTGTTAGGTACCTATTAATAATTAACCGTATCGAATAAAATACAATCATCTATACAAGATACAACTGCATGGAACACGCCATTCACAGATTTATGTATTCACATTATTATTTTGCTCAAAGTCTTATCAGTTATTAGTACCTATTGCACAATATTTTGTGTCATACCTAATATAAATAAATTGATGTTTCTTAGTCTTTTGATGGTTTTACCTGTTCAATTTTTCAAACACATTGTCTAACCATTTGGAAGCACTTTTCGTAATGTATAATTCAGCGCGTTCTACCTGAGAGGCTTGTGATTCCATACATTGTGAAATATCGTTTGTGAACAGTGACACTCTGCTAATTCTACTGTTTATCTGAAATAGTTAAAAAAAAAAARAAATTAAGTACAGAAATGCGTGACAAATTACAGAGAATGGCATTCAAATAATATAGTATTATCATGCAGTTAGTAGATCTATGTAGATATCATAGGTGTGCGCTGACTTTGTTTGCAGGGTATGCGGCTAATAAAATCCCGCGAATATAAGCGACCATACTATTAAGAGGACGCTATACCCTCATGTGTTGTCTCTGTCTTACAAAGTTACAAGTGCATAAACAWAGCAAATTTTACGCTCAGCAGATCATGTTTAGCTCTGTTARTTTAWAATTTTGAGAGAGTTGACCACTTATAAAAATTAAAGGTAACATTATTATGGAAGACTTTTTATAGGCTTTTTATTATATTTTCATTTTAAAGCAAATTATAGGTATTTTAAAATTGTAAATTATTTATATATCTTAAAATACTCACAATTCGCTAATCACTCTAAACTTTAAACTAACGGAGCTAAACGTGATCTACTGAGCGTRAAATTTGGTATGTTTTGCACTTGTAAGACGGAGACAACACATGTGGATGTAGCGTCCTCTTAATATGTATGACATTTCATCTTCAACTTCTGGTTAATAATTKTTGTTAAAATAAAAATAGGTTTTTCATACTTTTTTTAATAAAAGCATTTTTTTTTCCAAACATGTTTATTGAAATGAAAATGTACATTGTATATAATTGTTATAATTCAAGCCTTCTCTTTTCTRGTATAAGGATTTTAAATCCTTCAATCACATTCTCTGTGTAATTAAAATAGAAATTTGTTATTCTATGAATATTGAATGTCTACAAAATACAAATGCATCCAGACGCTTTGGGGTTATCATGTTTAACCTGGAGTACAGACCCAGCGTTGAAATGAATTGTAATACCTATTCGGAAATATAAAATTTTGAAGTTTTGATAAGAATAATTAGTTTACATTGAATAATATTGCATCGGCCCTCACAAACTTTTAGCATAGGAACCCAAAATTTGATGTGGGGAGCCTGATTAGCCTCTGGGATCTGGTAGGTACCTATCAAGTATCTATTGATTAGAATAATCAATATAATTACAAATTGAAAAAACTAACACATTATATTATATTATATTCATACTTGTTAATAAAGTTACATAAATACTTACGTAGTAATGTATAGTATATACTATATACTGTACACAATATACTCAATGGTAGTAGGTAGTAGGTACTAGGTACATAATTAAGTAATATTGTTTGTGTTATCGTGTTTATTTATTTACTACTTAGTAATTTAGTATAGGTATTTATTATTATATATTTATTTGTAAGCATATTATTTTAAACATGATACTAGGTAAATTAAAGGCAGATAATAATTATAGGTATAGGTACCTATAATATTATATATTATGTATATAAACTATATAGATAAAGAATCTCTAATGACTAACAATAGATTGTTTCTGAATTAATACATTCCATAATTAATAAATTTTACATTTTACAATTTTGTACACTAAAAACAACTTATTAATGCCTTTTAGTTTGTTTTGCTTAAACATACCTATATCATATTCATATATTATGTTTACATCATTAAATTTAATTTTCCATTGCTGCCATATGCTAAGATGTGAATGTGATTTTACTAAAATGTATTATTAAATAACCCAAAAATTGCCCTTCTTTATTAGAATGATTATATTTTTTAACCATTACTAAATCTAAAAAAAATCAAAGCTGTTTTATTATTAATAATGTTTATATGAGCATCATCTGCTACCCAATTGCTAATATTCCTAGGTACCTACCTTCTAATGCAAATAGGAAATAGATGCTATGGAAGCTAATATAGTTGGTAGGTTAATAATAATAAATAATAATTTATTGTATTAATTAATGATAATTTAATTAATAATAATAAGCTAATACAAATGTACAATTATCTAAGATTTATTAATTTTGTTATATTTATGGAAAGTGAAATTATTATCACCATTTCACTACTTTACTAGCTACTACAGATTTTAATTTAATATTTAAGTACATTCTACGGGCATTTTAGTTGTTCTGCAAATGAAGTTATATTATTTTCGTCAATAACAAAATATTTACGTACGTCGTCGCTTTGAACCGAAGAAACTGCATACTCTAAAATGAACTGTAGGAATTTGTTTTGATGTCTCTGCAAAATACAAAATCGGTTGTTGACCAAYTGCTTAAATTCGACTATCTGCTTTTCGAGTACGTCCCGCAATTCACTAATCATTTTCTAAATAAATCAATATAAATGTCTAATTAAAAAGAGGCTAATAATACAAAATAAATAACTTTGTTCG